GCGGGGCCCGGCGCGCGGGGGTCCCTCCGGAAGGGGCGAGCCGCTCCGCTCACCTGGGGCCGCAGCGCGCGGGGTCGCGGGCCGGAGCTTGCAGGCGGCCGAGGCGGGTGATGACCAGGAGGCCGGGGCTTCCGGGACGGTGTCTGCTGCTCGCGCCGCTGCCCTCGGACTGGACGGTGCGGGGCTCGCGCCGCTGGTGCCGCCCCCGCCGGGCCCCGTCCCCGCCTCTCCCCGCTCCGCCTTCCGCTCGCCTCTCTCCTCCTCCGCCGCCGGCGATCGCGCTCCGATGCCGCTTCCTCCTCCTCCTCCTCCTCCCTCCGCGGCCTCCTCCCCTCAAGCCGGCCGCCGGCTCCTTCACAAACCAAAACACAAACACTCCAGTCCCAGCGCGCGAGCCACTTCCGCCCACCGGCGCCGGCCCCGCCGCCACGTCGCCGCACGTCGCGCGCTACACGCCCGCGTCACTTCCTGTCGACGCCAGCTCACCCCCGGCGGCCGCGGCCCGGCCCCTCGTAGGCCCCGCCCATCCTGGAGCCGGGGCGCTGTCACGTCACCACGCCTTCCGGTGTGCTCCATCGCGCAGGCGCGCAGCCCCACCCCGGCGGCCTCCTTTGTTGTGGGTCCCAGGGTCGCGTGACCCGCTCATTGGCCGGGAGTGGACGCGCTCATTGCCGGCCGAGGGGCGACGTCAAAGGCCTGAACATTGTCCCTGCCCTGTGGGCGGCCACGTGGCCTCTGTGACCCTGAGCTCATCCCCCTCCCACCCTGCAGCACGTCAATCCTGGGCAATGGGGCTGAGAAATTACCCTGTCCCTCCACTTTGCCCAGCATGGTGTCCTGCTCCAACGAACAGCACATACTTGTTTATTCTCTTGGCAGTCCACGGGATGTTGTGTACTCCTCTCTAAAACCAGTTCAAAAGCATCAAGTCCTCCTTGCTCTCAGATGCAAACCAAGTGATTGAAAAGACCATGGGCTGAATCAGACAGGCACACCCTAGTCCTCAAACTAACATCATTGCTCATCAATAATTTGGAGAAGTTCCTGACTGCATAATTTAGCAATGCACTATGCCTGCCTTCAGATTTCTTGACTGCTGGCATCAAAGGTGTCAATTGTGGATCCAAGTAACATGAAGTCTTTTTTCTTTTTTATTATTAATTTCGATGAAAATTTAGAGACTTTGGATTTCCATTCATTCATTGTTGCACTTGTCTTCCCCCCAACCCTCCCCCCCCCCAGTACACTACCCTCTTGGTCTCACCGACCCTATCTCCCTCCCGCCCTCCCTCCCTCCTTCCCTCTAGCCTTCCCTTCCC